ATGATTGTTTCAGCCTTAAACCTACACGAAATATGAAAAATAAAAAAGTAAACCTTCAATTGGCAACAACAAACGATAGCTATCATACGAATTAAATGTTTGAGTAAATTTAGTTTGCATTTTAAGTAGGAAAATAATGACCTTATGCAGGTTGTTATTTTATGCCTTGAAGCAAATTTCATTGAAACTTGATATCGTCCGGTTTGATTCTTCAAAAGAATAACCTATCGTTCTGAAAGAAAATAACTCCATTTAGGTTAAACGTTATTTAGTGTCACTAGTCGGTGTCACGTGCATATGGAAGCTAACCCGATTTAAAGTCCAACAATTAATTCCAAAGAAGTCGAAAAAATTTTATTTTTCAAATCTGAATTTATAATTTTACATTCACGGAACTAATAGCAATTATAACGTTGAGATAAAGTTCGGATTAATTGATATTCGTTGCATATCAATTTTTGTGGGTTGACTGGATACAGGTGAACTAAGAACTCAAACGTTCATCGAATGAAAAGTTTTCTATATGCGTTGTATGCAGAGATTGGCTAAACCACGAAATCAATTATCACGAAGAAGTTTTTCTCAATCCACAAAAGTATACCAACAAAAATAAATGAATCCACAGTAGCATGAACTCTAAACAGAATGAGACAAATTGACAAAAACGTAGGTACCATAAATAATGTCACACTAAGAATGGTCAATATTACTTATATACAATGCTGAGAAATGCTGAGAAATGCTGAGAAATATATATATATTTGCCTATAATTGCTTTCGTATACTTATCCAACTGTTTATTCGTTAGATCTTAGTGATTTATATTTTGCATATCCAACAGTTTATACGAGAGTTTTTAATGATACATATATTGCGCATATCTAACTTTTAGATCATAGTGATATATATTTCCAACAGTCGAAACGTTACACTTAAGTGATATAACGGAATATTTCACATATTCAAAAGTAAATACCGTAGATTGTAGTGATGCACGTTTCGTATATTGAATTGTTTCTATTTAGATTCTAGTGATATATATTTCCCATAACAAACAGTTTATTCGATAGATTTAAGTGCCATATATTTCGTTTTTCCAACAGTTTATACGTTAGATATTTGTGATAGATATTTCGCATATCAAAGTTTATACTTTAGATTTTAGTGATATATATTTCGCATATGCAACTGTTTATGCGTTAGATTCTAGTGATATATGTGTCGCATTTCCAACATTCGAAACGTTTGATTTAAATGATATAACATTATATTTTCGGAGTTCAGAATTGTTTCTTTTACTTTTTGCATATCCAACAGTTAATACCTAAGATTTTATTGATAAAAATGTCGTATATTGAATTGTTTATACGTTAAATCTAACGTATAAACAATAGGATTTGTGGTTTAACATGTATGGCTGTTCAAACGAATCATATTCATTATTTAGGGGGTTGCTTCCAGATGTGTATTGTGAGGGTATCAAAGTTTTTTTTTTTTATCTTATTAAAGGTCAACACTGATAAAGAAAAAGAAAGTTTAAAACTCATTTTCTTCTAGCTATATATTGGGAAAAGCTACCATTTGTTACATTTTCAGACGTTAAAATTAGGAGTTTATGTTATAGACAATGCATATTTTAAGGTTTTTTTCGAAGTATAACTCACCGAGGGGTGTCAGGATTGGTCAAATGAAATACCGACCGTATATCGATAGATTAACAAAACTTCACATTATTTGTTTCGAAAGATATGTGTGTCAACGACGATTTTCAGTCCAATAAACGGAGGAAATGATTGTTTCAGCCTTAAACCTACAAGAAATATGAAAAATAAAAAAAGTAAACCCTCAATTGGCAACAACAAACGATAGCTATCATACGAATTAAATGTTTGAGTAAATTTAGTTTGCATTTTAAGTAGGAAAATAATGACTTTATGCGGGTCGTTATTTTATGCCTTGAAGCAAATTTCATTGAAACTTGATATCGTCCGGGTTGATTCTTCAAAAGAATAACCTATCGTTCTGAAAGAAAATAACTCCATTTAGGTTTAACGTTATTTAGTGTCACTAGTCGGTGTCACGTGCATATGGAAGCTTACCCGATTTAAAGTCCAACAATTAATTCCAAAGAAGTCGAAAAAAAAAATTTTTTTTTAAACTGAATTTATAATTTTACATTCACGGAACTAATAGCAATTATAACGCTGAGATAAAGCTCGGATTCATTGATACTCGTTGAATATCAATTTTCGTGGGTTGACTGGATACAGGTAAACTAAGAATTCAAACGTTCATCGAATGAAAAGTTTTCTGTATGCGTTGTATGCAGAGATTGGCTAAACCACGAAATCAATTATCACGAAGAAGTTTTTCTCAATCCACAAAAGTATACCAACAAAAATAAATGAATCCACAGTAGCATGAACTCTAAACAGAATGTGACAAATTGGCAAAAACGTAGGTACCATAAATAATGTCACACTAAGAATGGTCAATATTACTTATATACAATGCTGAGAAATGCTGAGAAATATATATATTTGCCTATAATTGCTTTCGTATACTTCATTTGAACTTTAGTTGTGAGTCCTCTCATTGGCAATCATATACTTCTCCTTATTTTTATATATTACCTGATCTTCTAAAATGGGTATAGTACAATTTTGTAAAGAATTCATTCCAGGAAAGAAAAAAAAAATACTGTATTCGACTTTTCAATAAAAATAAGCCCTTTACATTTAGAATATTAAGTATTGGCAATATACCCTACATTGAAATCTGAGAAGTGCATGCACGAGTCTATCAATCAAAGCGAAAATGTATACACCATATAATAAATCATAGGTTCGTTGCCACAAAAAAAGTAAAACCAAATAAAAAAGAAGGAAAAGGTTGTCGTCCCTACTGCCAAATATGGATACATGTTCCTTATTCCGAGAAGAAATAAACAAAATATAATCAGTTGTATTTCTAATAGCAAATTACTGCTATTCATTGTGAGGTTTAGCTAGCTATAAAACCAGGTTTAATCCAGCATTTTCTACATAAGAAAATGCCTGTACCAAGTCAGGAGTATAACAGTTGTTATCCATTCGTTTGATGTGTTTGAGCTTTTGATTTTGCCTTTCGATTAGGGACTTTCCTTTTTGAATTTTTCTCGGAGTTTGATTTTTTTGTGATTTTACGTTTTTTGTACCAGGACAAGACGATATTTTTAAGTCTCACCTCTTACAAAACATTAACTTTACATTTCTATATAGCAACATTTCATGTTTTCTTCGTTTGTTTTTTTCTGTCACTTTTACTTGACTCTATAGCTTAATATGTTTCTTGGAGCCTTTCTGTAATAAAATGCTTAAAGCTTTTAAGTACCTGACATGAGACGAGAGTTTACAGGATCCCTGACATGGGACAGGTACATGAACAAGTGGTTGGATAAAATTAGTTTTTAGATCTCAACCCTGCTACATTTAATCTTGTTTAGTGAACTAACAATAATAGTTTAAACAAAAAACAACTGATGATATTATTATAAAAAAAACTTTTTTATTTTTGCTATATAAGTAAAGATAGTCAAGGCAAATTTGCAGGTAATTCATGTAAACTATATGCGATACCAGTATAAAACAGTTAAACGACATTACTTTAACCTAAAATCAATTATAGATTTATATACACAATTAAACGGTTATTGATATGTAAATGGAGTTATCATATAACTGGTCTTTCACGACATAAATTTTATTAATATTTAAAACCACAGATAAAAGAAATTTTGATTTGACTACTTTTAGAATTTTACCACTATAATTATATTATTAGTAATAGCAAATATGTATGCAAAACTTGCTTACGTGATATAAATATGTTGTAATTGGTGCCTGACCTTGGTGTGTGCCTCATCTTTTTTGGGGTTCGATTTGAATGAAACGTTGACAAAATTCGTGTATGGTGTGTGAATTAGCTTTTTCAGATCGAGCGACCATGGGTTATTTTATAAAATGTGTGTCCATCAATGTGAAAATAATATCACGCCAGTAGGGGAACATCCATTGTATACGATATGGTACACAAGTCTCAACTTTTGCTTTGAAACAAACTAAAAATTATGCATTTCTTAAAGAAGGAATTAAATTAAAGTTGCAAATTCAATGACGAGTACATGGAGTACATGGAGTATTAAGTACTTGTTTGTTCAATGTTCAAATATGCCTTATGTTTGTCCGAGAACGTACCGTGTTGGTTTTGATTGTATCGTTTGCGATATTTCGATTTATAGATATAAATATTGATATTTAATACCTTTGTAAACAAAGTAAGAACAATATTACACATATTTTACTCAATAACGTATCTTTGCCAACTTTGATATGGTTCTTAATGCATCATTCAAGCTGTTCTTGATATTGCGACGACCGTCTTTTAATTTTGAAAGATATAGCAAGCTATACAATGTCTAACTTGTCATTAAAAGCATTTTAAGTAAATTGTACGGTATATTGTCATTTTAATTTTGTTCACTTTAAAGCCTATCTACTAATGAGAACGCTTTTGAAAATATTTAAATGTGTGATTTTGTTATAAAGATTATTTACATGTTGAACAACAGGAGCATCGTCAAAATTAAAACATGTGCATACGCAGATATGTATATAAAAATATTTGTTTTACTTAGTGAGGCCTATATCGTTATAAATCTGGCTGACACTGTTAATACGACAGCATCCTGGTACTTTTAATCATACATGACTTTAGAACTTGCATATTGTTTCTCAATGAAATACTACTTGTACAAATATGGTAGTTATTAAATTATAGATTGTGTTATGATTCAGACTTACTTAGGGCCAACATTGCGTCATATTGTATAATGCATTATGGTAAAGTATATTTTAGCAAACTCGTAATTAAAGAATCCAAGTTCGACAAGTTCCAACTGGGTCCTTATTTTGTCAGAAAGTATACTGCATGGAAAGTTTCACATCATTTTTAGAGTGATTAATTTCCAAATACTAATTATAAATATGACGAGACAGCGTCTATGCTTTATATAGTTTAGGAGCCATTCGATCGTATTCACTAAATCGATCTGTCGTCATTCAATGTGTGTGCTTTAAAGGTAAGACTAAAATATATTGAGCGATGTTTAAAACTTCGAGTTCAGGCTCACAAAAGTTCTTGTAAAACATAATGAAATCAACTAAATGTAATAATTAAATGTGTAATAACTTCAAATCAATGTAAAGTTTTTACATAAGACGATTGAAAATTCGGAATCGGGTTGTTCGACCTGATGAACTCAACAATTTGATTTTGAAGTGTCTTAATTCAAACTATTAAACAGCAATTGAATTTAACCTAAGCAGAGATCTCACAAAACATTTTCAATTCCCGTCACATTTGGTGACTATGTTGAACGAATCTATCCAATCGAACTAGAGATAAAGGATACTACAGATACAGTTAAGTCTGCCTCATATCTTGACTTACATCTAGAAATTGACAATAAGGGTCGGTTGAAAACAAAACTTTACGACAAAAGAGATGATTTCAACTTCCCAATTGTGAACTTTCCATTTCTATGTAGCAACATTCCAGCAGCGCCTGCATACGGAGTATATATCTCCCAATTGATACGATATTCCCGGGCTTGTGTTTCCTATCATGATTTCCTTGATAGAGGATTGCTGCTCACAAGGAAGCTATTAAGCCAAGAGTTCCAAATGGTGAAGTTGAAATCATCCCTTCGTAAATTTTACGGACGCCATCACGAGTTGGTTGATATCGGATATGTTCCTATGTCGTAACTACAATACCCTTCCCTTTTCACGAATGTGACTTACCGAATTAGACTATTTACCGGATTTGTAATAACATAAGCAACACGATGGGTACCACATGTGGAGCAGGATCTGCTTACCCTTCCGGAGCACCTGAGATCACCCCCAGTTTTTGGTGGGGTTCGTGTTGCTTAGTCTTTAGTTTTCTATGTTGTGTCATCTGTACTATTATTTGTGTGTTTGTCTTTTTATTTTTGGTCATGGCGTTGTCAGTTTGTTTTCGATCTATGAGTTTGACTGTCCCTCTGGTATCTTTCGTCCCTCTCTTTTCTTGCGCCTGTCCCCTTTGTTAGTTTTGTGTGTGTGTGCGTGTTTTGTTTTGTTTTGTTTTGTTTTTATTTTGGTTCGCTGTTTGCGGGGTTTTCTAGCTGAGTTGAAGACACATTGTGGGCATTTAACTGGTCGGGTTGTTGTAACTTTCACTGTTGATAAGTCGTATTATTACTATACATGAGTGTTTTTCAGAAGACGGATTTATATAAAAAAATTGTATTGCTTACTTTCTCAAAAATCCGTTCACAGACGTTTGATTAAAACATTGTAGTCAAGAATTCCATTTTAATGATATGAAAATATTAAATACAGCGCATTGTGTGGTCATTGCATGGTACTGATTTAAGTTGGTAAACGCACCATCTAAACTGATGCCATAAACTTTCAATCACAATCAAATTTTATGGAGTTGATGGCCATGGTGAATATATTCATTGCAGGGACAATACATGCTATCGAAACGAATAACCCGTCAGCGAAAAAATCTGTTTCAATCCCCCTGTCCCGTTTCAAAGCCATATCTATTTATAAATATATTTATACTATCTTTCAATGAGTTAAATAAAAATCAACACTTATTTTTTATATAGTGGCTAGTCATTGTTGTTAGCATAAACAAAAGCAACAGTAGTAGACCGCTGTTCAATAGTCATTAATCGATTGTGCGAAAAAAAAATCATAATATTTAATCAGACTCATATAATTAAGCAAAAAAATAATATGTATGTATATAAATTTGAGAATGGAAATATATATATGTTGATTAAAGAATTAGTATAGAGTGCTTACAACCTTATTTAAACAAATTAAATAACCGTAATTGTATATAAAGAGAGATATATAATATAAACGTCAATTCAACAAAAACCGACATTTGGAAGCAGTCAACACGTACAAAAACATGTTTGTGACTATTCTATATTCTCAACTCATAAGTTCTTTTCAATTTATTTCTTAAATCATTCGACAGCATATATTCAAAACTGCGTAATAATGTAAATTACTTACATTGTAGTCATGGTAGTATGATTAAAGTAAAACAATTTTGAATGATGGGTAATCTTCCTTAGAATATTTAGCTGTTATTCAAAAAACATATGATCCTGCCTCATTGGTCGACAGTTTACTTACATGCGCAAAGAGGTTTTACCAGGATCCCATGATATTGATCAAGTAATGACCAATCTTAAAGTACTAACAGGCCTCTAGTTGAAACATTGTGTAATGATTTCGATTTATGAATTCAAACTAAAAATTACTTAACTGCGGGATGGGTAAATTAGCATGAAAAAATACCAAACATCAAGGTAAAGTTAAAAATGGAAAATATTCCGAAAAAACTTACAATTCATAGATTATCAACAAATGTAACAAGTGAAAGAGAAGTGACAGATAACAAAGGAGCGTTCAAACTCATCGATATTTTTTTTCACTTGGATTTTTTTCAGTTTTACTTTTTCATGGCAACGGTGGCCATTTTGAACCATTACAAAGGAATTCAATGTTTCAGAAGAGCAAAATGAAACATGTTCCTTTTTCTTTGTTTTTCAAAGTGTGAATCTAATTTTTTGGTTTTTTTCACATTTTCCTGAGTGTTGTTTGGAACATATTTCCTGTCACTTGTGAAATATCTGTTCTCATCAAATGATTGGTTGAAATAATGACGTTAAATTTTTCTTGATTTCTTCTGAATTTCCTAATCTGACGTCTTGAAAAAAGGCAACCATGCCTGATGACATCATGTACAAAGAACACGATTTTCTGTAAATCTCTGAAAAGGAAGGATAAAAATCATTATAAAATAAACAAATAAAATTGCATTAAAGAACAAATTCTACCACTATAACTCGTGTATCACGATATTTCTCCACTCTCATCAGTATAATTGAAATATTAAAAAGCTCGGCAAGCCTCTCGCTTTTAATATTAAAATATAACTGTCTCGAGTCGAGAAAATACGTAACACACTTGTTGCAGTGATGAAATCTATTTGTGTCATCAATTAAAACTCAATACTTTTGTTTTTCTAAAACAAAAATTCACAAACCTATATGGCATACTCGTTAAGCCAATAACCAGCAAAAAGTTGAATTTAAAATGGTAGGCTGTGTTACGGTTAATATCTTTTAGCATCTTTCAATCTAGTTGCTCAAAGTTTTTAAAAGAGAGGCGAAAGTAACCAAAAAGTCATTCAAACTCATAAGTCGAACCCTAACTCTAACCCGTTTCACAAACCTACATGGCGTTTCAATTAGTTATCGTTTGTTTTGCATTAGGTCCGAGTACACAGTTATCGTCCTTTGATTTTCGTTGTCCACGAATATAGTCCCTAGTGTGGACAGTGTGTTACTTGCCAATTTTTTTTATACCCCTTCCAAATTTATTTCTTCATGTTTTATGCCTCAAATAGCAAGTAGGGGGATACAATTACACTGTAAAAAAATTTGATTCATGAATCTTAAAATAAAGTTGTGATTTGGTCTAGCTGGAAAAGGTTAAAAATTAGCATTTCGGAAGCTGTCGAAAGATTTGAAGACCCCCTTAACATAAAATTACCTATATTTTGAGTTAGAGCCGATGAAGTTTTCTATAATTTTGATGTAATTTGTCCCAAAAGTAGTACAACACACTGTAAAAATATTATTGAGAAAGCGCAGGTGGGATTTTTTTATTTCCATTTATTGAAGAAGATGCACTACGAAATAACTGTGTACTCGGACCTAAGAGGTGAAATCAGTAAATATAGAATCTGTACTTTGGCAACTTCCCTGAATGATTTAATGGTGTCAATTTGTCAAATAGCATTAAACTAAAGGATTTAAACTTTTATTTGATAGAAATTCTGCAAAAATGACAAATTTTGGCTTTATATGGTCAAAATAAGCATTTCATAGCTTTTTCAATTTTGATGCTAAAGTGGCATTCTGACTTTCTATCTGACATGTTTTCATGTGTCAATACTTGTGCTGCTATGCTTTAATCCAGTTGTTTTACTCATTTGTGGACTCTGAATCTACCGAAAAGAAGATTATTTCAGACAATATGTGCACAATGTGTTGTATAAATGACCCTCGTCTAACGCCCTGTTAGGATCAAGTTAAATGTGAGGAGCTTGGTATATAAAAGTTGAAGTCCATAATAAAGACCTCACTAACTTTGTATAAAAAACACTTTACAATGTCTTTTGTACCTGTTTCATTTCACATAATATCTTTCTTTTTTTCTGTAGGATAGCAAGTAGTTCAAATATAAGCCTGTTGAGACTAAAATTGCATGCAAGTTTTTCACTAAAAAGTGAAAAATCTTTGTATCAGACCATACTGTCTGCAAAAAAAGTTGAATGCAAGAGTCTTTTTGTGCTCAGATTTATTGTATCATTTCACCTGAGTACAGAAATGATGAAAAAGACACAAATGTTTATTTCCTATAGCTTCAGTATGCATTTTTTAATGTAAATATGTGCTACGGCCTAAATTGACCCTAAATTATTTTCAGTATAACTTGGCCTAAGACCCTTTTAAACTAATATGTTATTAGCTATTTGTAATTTTTCTTTCCAATTAAAGTACATTAAATACATATATAAGGATTATTTATAACCAAAAAACTTCACAAATTTAAAATTGCTGGAAAATATTACATCTTCATGTACATTTGTAAGCCCCCCCCCCCCTTCATTTGAAAATCTCCATTTTTAGGCACAGGCTCATACAAATTTGATTTTGAATAATTATGCTAAGTCTGATAAATCAAATGAGTATTTTATTGCTTTTAATACATGATATATTATATATAAAGGCATTTATAAAGTATTTTTTTGCAATATTTTGATTTTTAAAGCCCCAAATGTTGATAGTTGAAATTTTTAAATTTAAACGTCAAATTTTAACACATAGAATTTATCATACTGTCTATAATATATATCCTATTGCCATAAAACTTTGTAAGCAATCTCATAATTTATTAAGCTTTAGTCATACAAAGTTTTATAAAGATTGGTCAACTTTTTCTATCCTATTAGGTCCGAGTACACAGTTATCATCTTTTGATTTTCGTTGTCCACGAATATAGTCCTTAGTGTGGACAGTGTGTTACTTGCCAATTTTTTTATACCCCTTTCAAATTTATTTCTTCATGTTTTATGCCTCAAATAGCAAGTAGGGGGATAAAATTACACTGTAAAAAAAAATTGATTCGTGAATTTTAAAATAAAGTAGTGATTTGGTCCAGCTGGAAAAGTTTAAAAAATTAGCATTTCGGAAGCTGTCAAAAGATTTCAAGACCCCCTTCACATAAAATTATCCATATTTTGAGTTAGAGCCGATGAAGTTTTCTATAATTTTGATGTAATTTGTCCCAAAAGTAGTACAACACACTGTAAAAAATATTATTGAGAAAGCGCAGGTGGCATTTTTTTTATTTCCATTTATTGTCTAAAAGAAATGCACTACACAATAACTGTGTACTCGGACCATTAATCCAAGTTATTTTAATTTCTATATGGTTTTAACGAACTTTTGGAAAATTAATCTGACAACGCCATTGCAAATAAATACAAACAACAGTCTACAAAACATATCATAGAAAACCAAAGACTGAACAACAAGAACCCCACAAAAAAACGGGGATGGTCACATGTGCTCTGAAGGGTAAAACAGATTAAGTTTATTAAGATGATGTTCTTACACAATAATTGTGAATGAAATAAATGTGAGCGCAACATAAAATAGGGCAATTATTGTACAAATGATGTCGTCAAAACTTTTTTTCTCAAAAACAAGAACGCATACCTTTTTAAATTATCACCGAAAATTGTTAAGTGGTAATGTTTGTTGAAAACGATAATAGTTCAGACATGTTACTCTAGAAAAAAATTGCATTTTAATGAAAATGTAGTGTTAAATGCCTGATAAAATACTAGCAATAATTACAGTATTCACAAAACACTGAAGTAACCATTTCAGAGATTTTACACAATCCCTTAAACTAAAAGAGATTTAATAAACTCCGTTTTGTTACATGAGCTGTAATTGGCGGAAATAGTGAGCTATTAACAAACGAAAGAACACTTAATAAATCACATGCGGCAAATGCGTTTCTTTCTGGGTCTACCTGTACCAGGAACACTTATGCCTAAACATTTTTTTGTCCGGAATGAACTAAAGAGTACGACGTTTGTTAAATGGTAGTACTAATGTAGCTATTTGGTCAAAAGGGACCTTTAGAAGTTAGGTAAAATGCTCTATTGACACTTTCCCTTAGGATTTGTAACATATAAATGTTTAAAACGAATTGGGAGAAGCTATGATTTGTAGTAGCTCGGGAAACCCTCGGTGGCGTGTTATTTACATGTTGGTTTTGATATAAAGGTATTTTTAAAACACATTTTATTTTCTTGCAGGTTTACAAGGTTAAAGACAATTACAGGACATGATGTTGAAATGTGTGGGTGTTTAGTGTGAGTATAGTAATATCGTGTTTGAAATAGATTTGAGATTACAACATTGGCGGTTACTCATATTGCGTTTGAATTGGTTATCGTTGGGCTTGTATCAACCCAATTTATTCTAATTTCTATATGGTTTTAACGAACTTTTGGAAAATTAATCATTTATACTGTTAAAACTAATTACAAAAAGCTGTTATAACGTTGTAACATGAATAAGTTGACAGATAAGAAATAAACATAAATATCGAATAGATAAACATGTATGTCAGGATTCCCTTTTGAAATAAAATTAAAAAAAAGACGATACAAAAATCACTTTGGATTACCCCCTGTTTTTGATGGGGTTATTGTTGCTTAGTCTTAAGTTTCCTAAGTTGTGTTTTGAATATTGCTGTCTTGTTTGCGCTTTTTCGTAATTTACCATGGCATTGTCATTTTGTTTTCGTCTGAGTTTGAATGTACCTTTGGTTTTTTCAGCCTCTCTCTTGTAAATAACTATTGTGTATTGACAATATATTGCATGTAAAATATAGTCATCAGCGCTACACATTGAAGACAATTTCCATACAATATTGTAATGTTTTTGCCAAATTCAAAGAAATTATTCGTTTATATCTGGATAATAAGTTATTCAGAAGTTAGATAAAGCTGTGTAGGTTGATATAATTTAGCAACTTCAAATCTTTTTGCAACAATTAATACTTAATTTTATACGTTGATATCTATTGGTATATTTAGAGTATTGATATAAACAACTGAATTCAACAAATCATTACTTGATGTAAATGAGAGGCGAAAGATACCAGAGGTCATGCATACTCATAGATCGAAAATAAACTGACAACGCTATGGCTAAATAAGAAAAAGACAGACACAACATATAAAACTTAAAACTAAGCAACACGCACACCACCAAAACTGGGGTGATCTCAGGTGCTCCGGAAGGGTAAGCAGATCCTGCTCCACATGAGGCACCCGCCGTGTTGCTCATGTTGTTGTATGTGAAGTACTAGTTTATAAAAAAAACAATATGTGACAAGAACACTAAGGATACAAAGTTTATTGCCCCAAGGTGTTTATATTTGACAAAATGTTTTGAAAATCATGCAAACCTAATACAAACGTTAATTTGTAACTAGTAAATAAATAAAAAAAGAACCTGCAGTACAGACATATCTGGACAAGTAATAGGAGCATAAATAGATATGATACTATTATCACTATTTTGCTTATGATACTCACGGCTAAACCTAGCTGCTCGTATATCGACCATAGACAAGACTCTTTTGCAATAATATTATCATTTTCATAACCTCGGATTGATATTGATAATATTTGTAGAAATTCTTCTGTTGAACACGAACAACTATTGATGTCTCATCATTCTCTTTTTTCAGTTGTAGTGACTATCATAATAATGTTCGTAAGTAGGGTAAAATTGAGAATGGAAATGGGGAATGTGTCAAAGAGACAACAACCCGACCACAGAACAGACAACAGCAGAAGGTCACCAACAGGTCTTCAATGCAGCGAGAAATTCCCGCACCCGGAGGCGTCCTTCAGCTGGCCCCTAAACAAATATATATACTAGTTCAGTGATAATGAACGCCATACTAAACTCCAAATTGTACACAAGAAACTAAAATTAAAAATAATACAAGGATGACAAAGGCTAGAGGCTCCTGACTTGGGACAGGCGCAAAAATGCGGCGGGGTTAAACATGTTTATGAGATCTCAACCCTCCCCCTATACCGTGCATGGATTTTATAGGCTAGGACAATGCCCAGAACTTGAAAACTGTGTGAAAAAGATTGCGCAATCCAAGAGAGAACTCTGTTCAACACGTTAGTGCAAGAATTAGCGCCAGGTGATTACCTGGGAATACTTGAAGCTGCAATGGAACTAATGTGCAGGTATTCCTTTATCAATATATATGCAATGTAAACAAACCACATCTTCATGCAAGCAAAAAGTAAAACCACAAAAATACTGAACTCCGGTGAAAATTCAAAACGGAGAATCCCTAATCAAATGGCAAAATCAAAAGATAAAACACATCAAACGAATGAACAACAACTGTCATATTCCTGACTTGGTACAGGCATTTTCTTATGTAGAAAATGGTGGATTGAACCTTGTTTTATAGCGCTAAACCTCTCACTTATATGACAGTCAAATCAAATTCCAATAGATTGACAACGATGCGTGAACAAAACAGACATAATAGGTAAAATTGTCAAAATAGGGGTACAGCAGTCATCACCGTGTCAATATCTCAATCAGAACAAAAACAAACAAATGTTTAAAAAAGGAAGCACAAAAAAGCATATGTCATGTTTAACAACCACGTCCATTGGTTACTTATTTTTGTATTTTATTTAAGTATGTTGAAATCAGTCAATAAAAGATTGAAATATTTTAAGTCCTGTTACATAATGGTTAGATTAACATCAACTCAAACATTAAACTCCTTCAATCTATTTATCTCTCAACCCAAAACTAAACAAATAACAAACAAACATAACATGAAATGAGTTTAGTCATTTAGGGATTTATTGTCAATTTTTATGTCTTTTCAGTGTCGTTAAAAAACCAATATGATATAATTAATCAAAAATGTGGTATAAAGTTTTCAAACATATTATTTCCTGCGTAAGATAAGCTCGAAGCCTTTTAAAAAGATAAATATATAACAGTGCACTAGACATGTCGTTTTTATTTTCATAGTTTGTATGACATAAAGCAAAACACAACAACTAAACACAACTGAAATACGATTGAAAACATATGTTATTGGTAAGTTTGAAAGAACTAATTATTTCGTAGATAAGACTGTTTAATGCATTGTTTTAGCAATACACCTGCAGTAGTACAATGCTTTGTGAGCATGATTTATGAGGATTGTTTTCAAATGAAACGCTTAATGATATGACAGCACTGATTTCAAACAAATAACTGACGGTTTTTGCCTCTACACAGATGGTTAGTATTTGATGCAAACTATCAACTTCCGAAGCAAGGTTGTCGGTTTTTTGGACATTCCCAAAGTTCTGCGTTTTTGATTGCCGAGTTTAAGAGCTTCGGTCCTTGCTTGGCAGTTGGCAAACTATATGATTTAGATATTACGATAATCTAGAATTTGTCGGAAATTCTCCCCCTTCTTAGATTGTTTTCCCCTGATGCTTTCCATTATTATTCTTTTTTACGGAATTAGAGCAAACAGTCAGACTGTAATTTGAAACAGCAGTTTCAAAAATGCAAGATGCAAGATACAAAACCTGTTCAAAAAGCTTATCTTTGAACTAAGAAAGATTCCCGATACTGATTAAGGTTCAGAATTCTTAATTGTTAGTTTTGATTAAGCTTTAAGTATATTAAGGCTACACTTTTTATATATGTTCCGAATGGATTTAGAAAGGTGAATAATCATTTCCAAGCGTTTTTGTTCATTTAGTAAGAGACCAATCCATCAAAATTTGTTTTCAATTCAATGTAAAAACAAATAATAAGTAGTAACAAACATTTTTTTTTTTTTTTTGCAGCTGCTGTCAGTTTGTCTCGATTTATGATTTTTGAATGACAGTTTGGTATCTGTAGGCTTTTTTAAATGTGCAATGATGCAACAAGCCAAATGCTATGCATGTTTTGCATATAGGCTGGAATACAATAAAGCATTTAGAACATTTTCTTTATTCAATATCTGTTGAGATCCAATGAAGCTAAAAGTAACAAATTGCTTTATTTCTTTATGCACATTTTTTATTTCAGAAATTTCAGACCTCTTACGGATCTTTACAAAAGTAAACAATCGCCAATGGTTTTTTTGGCTGTATTGAATATATGTTCATGGGCATTACAGAATCAAAAACTGGTCAAACATACTTGGAATATTTTCGATGCAGGTGCGTTTGATTTTGATATTATATTATCATAAAATTGAGAATGGAAATGGGGAATATGTCAAAGAGACAACAAATTGACCAAAGAGGAGACAACGGCAGAAGGCCATCAATCGGTCTTTAATGTAGCGAGAAAATTCCGCACCCGAAGCTGGCCCCTATATAAAATTGTGTACTTGTTCACTTAAAATGGACGTCACACTAACCTCCAAAATATATAAATGAACTAAAATGAAAAAACATACAAGACTTACAAAGGCCAGACGTTCCTGACTTTGGACAGGCGCAAAAATGCGGCGGGGTTAAACATGTAAGATCTCAACCCTCCTCCTATACCTCTATCCAATCTCTATCATTATTCATGTCTACAAAAAAAATGAAGTGTAGCTAAAGAACACAATACAACTCTTCTCATTATCATCACATTACACCTGGACAGAAACCTCAGCTATATTTTCATTGATTAAATAGCACCAAAACATACAAGAGAATAAACAACGGTATAGTCTGATAAGAAAAAAAATCTTTTGAAACGTGTGATTTTTTTTTAATCCTTTAAGGAGCACTAGCTGTCAAATTCATGTTCATTGATTTGATTCAAATTCTCATATTTGATTTATAACATACTAAAATGTTTATCCAAATTACAATAAGTCTGAAATAAACAATTAAAAATGCATGTATCCGATATGATTTATCAGAATTTCGAGTGTATTTCAGTCTAGACACCATCTAATAACTATCAAGATGACCTCCGAAGACTGCTGATTGTCACATTACCCGATAAAAACATTAACATATATATAAATAAATAGCGAGCTCGTGTTTGGATTCGAGTTAAGGTTAAGTTAGTTATCGTTTTTACCTGTATAAAACAGGTTTTTTTTTATCTAATCAGTCAACGAAATGGTTCACATTTGTTTCACTTTCAATGATGAAATTATTTTCCTTTTGATGGCTTAACACGACTTATACATGCGTAACCAATATCTGGGTAATGAGTTCAATTGAAGGTCACATGAATACGGATAAAATGAGGTAAAATTATTCATTTGCAAGTGAATAATTCATCACCGGTGTTTCTTTACTTATTTTGACAAAATTGAACCAAATTGACTGCTTAAATTAATTTATTAATTCAATATTTAACTTTTATTAATGATTGAAACAAACAAAATCTTATCTATTTTTTTTAAATATCTCTTAGCTAGTGCCCATTTCACCACCTTGATATATAGCAAACAAATCTGCTTATTCTATCTTGAAAGCAACTAACAAAGGTGTTTTAAATAAATGTCAATGTACCATGTCATTCAAATCTTAATATTTTTTATGTAAGAAAACCCCTGTGAAGGAATATTGAGTTGTCTTTTTAATATAAATTTAACCTACTATATTAATGAGTAATGGGTCTTTTAACACGGTTTGTCAAATAGGATATAATGTTCCTATAGTAAAGTTTTCATATATTATGTATCTCTTTTGAAAAGGAAAAATGTGTGTGTTTACTTATCTAGACCTGATAGATTACTTTAAAATAATCAAGTGGTTTTTACTATTAAAAAGGGACACTAAATCCAACCAGGCATGGGGTAATCAAAATCAGTAATCGTAATCAGCTGTAATCGATTATAGTTTGCAATGTAATTTCATGTAACCAGTGATTATGCAATTTGTAATTACAAGTAATCGTAATGTAATCGATTACAGTTTGATAAGTAAGTGTATAAATGATTACTTTTAGATTATTTTAAGATAGTTGATTACAAGTTTTGTATATAAAAAAATGTTTTTGAAAGACAATATAAAAATAAAAAGGTGTGAATCATGAACTAAAAATTATCAAACTAGTGTTCACAATGATGGATATTTTTTGTTCCTTGATTATGTTGATGAAACACTTCTAATAGTAACTCTTATTCAAGTTTACACAATATTTTAGTACATGTATATCTACATGGAAATTCAATAGCATAAACATTTCGTTCCCATTTGACTTTGCTGGTCGACATAAATGAAACCACTTAATGAATAATGATTTAGAACCATTTTTTTTTTTTACATTTTGTACAAATTTGATTTTCCATAATAATGTTGATATTTGCTTTCTACCTGTAACAAGTATTGAATTTTTCCAAAAAATTATAAACATAATAAAAATTGTCAACCTAGAACTCTATTGATAAGGCAATTAAGAAAATTAACTTTTGATACCAAAGCTCATCTTTTGAATGGAAGTAGTGATTAACACCTGTAAAAACATGTGGATTTGTCATTTATATACAAACAGACAATACAACTATGCTTAATTGATTTTTCATTATTTGCTCAGGTTTTTTGTTAATCGGGAAGTTGGCTAAAATTTTTAGAAAAACAATGTTATATCTTTTGTACAGAAAAGAACACTTGTAAATGCTATCAAACTTTACTTTTTACACTGCACCTACATGTAGTTGTCTGAATTCCTAATCAGATGAACCAATTAAGAATATAAAAAAGATCATAAAAACTAGCGTTTCCGTGAGGATTAAAAGTTTATAAGAAATTCTTCAATATTACAATATAAAATGTTATCATAAGTAATTCAAAGTTCATGATTACTTTAAAGAAAAGTAATCTAATGTAATCGATTTCATTTCAATTTAGGTGTAATTGTAATGCTATCAATTACATTAAATTAGCAAAGTTATTGTACTTTAATTGATTACATTTGAAAGTAATCGAACGCTTCCCTGTATCAATCTATAACGTCATACATGATAGAAAGTAGAAGATGTGATATGACTGATAATGAGACAACTCTCCAATAGAGGAGACAAAATGACGTTAAAGTTAGCAACTTTAGGTTGAAAGATTAAACGAAATGATTTATGTTCAATACAGTCATTTAGTATTGATGGTACATGGTCCAGGTGTGGTATTTTTTTCTTGTTTAATGGTATTTTTTAGCTAGTTGATGATTTTATTTGTATTTTTTTTTTATTTCAGCAAAGACGGAACTATACCTGCATTTGATGAGCTTTTTGTGTGTTTTACTGAACATATGGAAGGTAGAAGTGATGAAGATATCATCATTTTCGTGAGAGAAAAAGGCTTAGATTTTCAAAAAGATGCTTGTTCGCGAGCAGAAAAAACATTTCAAACAGCAAATTATGAATGTGTTTGAAAGTTTTGGAATTCTGAAAGAGAAATTAGTTAGAGTGAAACGTTAGAACAATTTATAGAAAAAAAACTACTTCGTGTATTCTTAAAATTTATTATTTAGGAAAATATTCTAGTAAAACATTTTTATTTGCCTTTACTTTTATTTTCGTTTAAATTTGGAAATGGACATTCGTTTTTGTTGGATTAAATACGTAATATTTTAAGACAAGGAAAAGACATTGATGTTTTTTTTTTATTTACCTTTATTTCGAAATGCATATATTTCGAAATGTATTGCTTTAAGCAAAAAAACTCTAACAAGTCCCAATGATGTCGGATTCTTTTTGCAAAACTGGTACGATTTCTAAGTTGACAAACCAATATTGAAAAAAGTGTAACAGAAATTTCGAACTTCAAGTTGAATAAAAAAGGGGAAGTCCATAAAAACGGACAAAATCAAACGTTATAAACAGCAGGAGAAGTGAAAAAAAACTAACTGTCATATATTCTTGACTTGTCACAATCATTTTTCGAAGAAGATTGTAGGTCTAAGCTGGTTTTATCAGACACAACTGACTAAAAAATTCAAACAACATACAAAAAAATCTAACATAGACGTCAACAAAAAACTTGTTATTGATATTCAATCTTACAAGGAAACCACGTACATGTATGTTGACAACTCTAGAGATCAATTAAAAAATGAACTTTTCCCTGCAGCAGACAACCCTCCATTTTTAACAATCCTATTGCAAGCCGTTGTGGAATTAATTCCTTATTTATTAATATTAAAAAATAATTTATTAATATTAAAAAATCATTTATCAATACTAAAAAATCATTTATTAAAATTAAAAAATTATTTATTAGGTATTACAAAATCATTTTTTGATATTTATAAATCGAATTTCTAAAAAATATCACGGTGCATTGCCCCTATCAGAGCTTTGAACAGATATATTCATATCAATATCAAAGTTCAGGGAAAAAATCAAAACATAAGTGTCATATTCATGTTTACCACTGACTAAATTCCCGATCGATTTCTTTTACTTGGGCCGATATAAGCGATTTGTATGCATCTTTTTATTAATCAAATAAGACATAGAATTTCCATCCTTCCAATTTCAACATTAAAATTTTTGTAATACGATTTCCCTAACCTGGAGTCAGGACTATATGCAAACATACAAAAATCAAACATATGAGTCATCACAAAACTATCTCAGTGCTAGCCTATTACATACATTTGTAGTTGCCCATTTAATATAATTTACTTTCTTTTATTAACTGTGTTCCCATGCTTCAACGAACTCATATGAAGATTTGGTTATTATTACAATTAGAAAAGATGATTTTTTTAATGTCACTTGAAGGTGTGAATATGTTGAGACAATAATAGGTCATGATTTATGAACATTTGAAACCCTCGGCTACACCTCGGGCTTTACATATTCATAAAAGATTACCAGAGACATATATACACATGTGTATATATGTCTTTGAGATTACCAAGTATTGCTTCACAAATAGCGATCATTGAAATAACAATCCGAGGAAAAACACATTTCGCATATATTAGACCTGTATAAAACCACTTCCAAGTAATACAATTTGATTGTAAGATATATCCGGATTTTTGTGACAGATTTGACAGAAAAAGAAGTATTTTTGAAAACTGAAATTAAATGCATGCAGAATGAAATAAAAACACGGGATGTTAATAATATATTTTTTATTATCATTGTATTTTGCTTGTGTTCTCTTTGTTCGCCTCCTCTAAATTCCTGCACCCTGTGGTTATTTTTTTTACGGAACAGAAGAACATCTTCTCCAACAAAGTTATGAGGAGGACAAATTAAAAATGACACTCCGTAAATTTTACGGACACCATCACGAATTGGTCGATCCATACGATGTGTCTTTGTCCAAACTAATTAAGGAAATTTTGTTGACATGTTAGATTGTGGTTTGACATTTCGTCGTCTGATCTTTTAATTACCGAACGTGACTTATTCCCGATTGTAACTGTTTTGCTGAGTGTGAATTCGCATTGCTATAAGACGTGTCACGGTACTTTTCCAACCAAAATGCATGTATTTAGTTTTGATGTTATATTTGTTATTCTCATCGGACTTTGTCAAATATCTTATCATTTGTAGTTGTGAATCTTATTTTTTTTTTCTGTTGTATTCGTGTGTTATGGTAAAGATAATTAATTACCCAGTTCATTAATTAGATTTTAGTTGGGGTCAACTAAATTTATACGATATATTTGGTTTACAGTTGATTTAGAAGAAACACCGACATAGCTATATAATACTATTAATTATCTAATTACTACCACATTTTATATTAATTAGTATTGTAATTTTCATTGTTATTAATAAAAATGTTATATGAGTATTTTAAACCAAATCTTGAATTCTATCCTAATTCTGTCCTATTTTGGGGATATTTCAGAAATTCAAACGTGACGTCACCTTTTTTGTTTGCGTTGATCTCTTTGGCTTACTCGGCTGTGAATTTTTATGTGCTGGTTTATGTTGTTTTATGTATCCGTTTTTATTCTGTAGTTAGTCACCACTTCGGTGTTATCATGTATATCTATTATATAGTCATTTGTATAAATTTACTGTTTGCAAAAGTATGAATTATTCTAAATACTAAGGATTTTCTTATCCCAGACATATAACCTTAGCCGTATTTGGCACAATTTTTTGGAACTTTTGGTCCTCAATGCTCTTTAACTTTGTACTTGTTTTGGCTTTCGAACTTTTTTTATCTGAGCGTCACTGGTTACTCTTGTGTGGACGAAACGCGCGACTTAAATTTTAAACCTGGAACCTTTTGTTAGCTATTATTCGTATGTTTCTCTGTCCTATATGTTCTCCCATTTATTTGTATTGTAGTCCTGTCATGTAATGTTGTCATTTTAATGTTATATTTAACATTGCCATAGAAGCGGGAGGTTTGGCTAGCCACAAAACCAGGTTCAACCCACCATTTTTTTTAAATGTCCTGTTCCAAGTCAGGAAAATGGCCATTGTTATATTATAGTTCGTTTCTTTGTGTGTTACATTTTAATGTTGTGTTTCTGTTGTGTCGTAGTTCTCCTCTTATATTTGATGTGCTTTCCTCAGTTTTAGTTTGTAACCCGGATTTGTTTTTTTCTCAATCGATTTATGAATTTCGAACAGCGGTATACTACTGTTGCTTTTATTTGAGTGTACATTGCATCTATAATTGCTGCTACAAAGAACTTAATCAACATTTCAATTTCACAATATCAAACTGTGCTAAAATGCAGAATTATTTTTTTCAAAGTTTTTCATTCAACCGCCTCTATTTATATATTTGTACGCGTGAAGTGTCAAATAATATTTTGTCGTGATGATATCATTTTATGTCGTATGATTTATATTTTTTATTGTGGTTATCTACATATAATTAAGCTTATATCGTTTGCTATTTTTCATATCTATACATGTCGATAAAATATTCTTTTGTATATACATGTTTATTGTTTTTCACCCTGTGTTGTTTTCACTTGTAATTATTTTATTTGTATATTATAATAAAATGCCTCGATAACCATCTCGCTTTCCTTATTCTTCTTCTTCTTCTGTTAGTATTATCATTCCATTTAGGAACACCAAGAATTTCTTGTAACAATAAACGTATATACACTATTTACAGGTTCTCCATAGAACCATTTGATCTTATTTGTGCCAGAAGATGTTAAATCGGATTTGTCAGACTTATTTTATAAATTATCGGAACATTTGGGTGTCTACGTATACCCTCTTTTACATAGTCTGCAAGCGCCGAGATGAAGGTTTGGCTATAGATGTTTCTCTTTTCTTACATGCTTAAAGGAAGTGTTTACTGTTACTGAAACAGAAAAATGTTGTTGTTTCAATCTTCTACAGAGCAGAGCATGAACATATAAGCATATTAGTCATAGCAAGCACAATATGTTCTTTAACAGTTTTGACACGCCCCCAAATATTTAATGTTTTCGCTCATGAATCAGCATTTCAGTCCCTTTAGAACATAGATTAGACCGGTTTTCCGTTATAAAATAATTATGTTATTATAAACAACTGAAGCAGAACCTAAGACCACTGTTGCTGTGAATTGGAAGTTCCTTCATACTAAATATAACTTATAAGTTCCTAAACTTTACTAAAGTCTAAAGAGGAAGAAAGATTCTGTGACATTATTTCCACTAGAACAAATGTAACCGTTTTTGTTTTTGTTCCTTGCAGAATAAGCAGACTAAAGAATATATTAACAGAGACTATGGCATTGTTTATATTGCCAGAGGAACTTCTGATAGGCCGAACACATGCATACCCCTCCCCCCTAGCCTGCCTAGGTCAGTCAGCAGGCCCCCCTTATGAAAAGTTCTTGAACTGCCACAGGGTATACAGTCTGTCTTTTGGTTTCTGCACTTACTGAGAAACATGACAATATATTGTATAAGATGTATAATGCATCTTTATCGGTCGTCCCAATGTCTATATCACTTGCTCAGCTCTAATAATAAAATTGCATATCATGGCTTTGTGATGTCAAAAACGTTGATCCTGCCTTAATAAATTTGACCCGAACATATCAGTGACTTCATAATGTTTGAACATATCCTTTGTCCCATCGATTGACGTTAATAATATCAATTGATAAACACGTAACGCTTGTGCATGTTTATATTATATGGACTTTGTTAATAGGAATGTGCTCTAGACACGAACATTTCTCCAACAGAGTTATAGGAAATACATTCGAATAAGACACTTTATAATTTTTACGGTCATCATCACGACTTGGTTGACCTATAGGATATGTCTGTGTCTCAATCATGTGTCATATGTTATGTCATAATCCCTGCTTTGAAACTTCTCTAAGTGTGTATTTGATTCGTTCACACTGTCGAGACATGCGCAGCCGATCTCTCTACTTTTTGAGTTCATGCAATTCCCTCAGTTTTGTTTTTGATCATGCTTGTTAAGTTGTGAATAAAATTGAGAATGGAAATGGGGAATGTGTCGAAGAGACAACAAGCCGACCAAAGAGCAGAAAACAGCCAAAGGGCGCCAATGGGTCTTCAACACAGCGAGAAAATCCGGCACCCGGAGGCGGGCTTCAGCTGGCCCCTAAACAAAAATGTGTACTAGTTCAATGAAATGGATGTCCCATTAATCTCCCAAATATATAAATGAACTAGATTAAAAAAAAACATACAAGACTAACAAAGTCCAGAGGCTCCTGACTTGGGACAGGCACCAAAAGACGGCGGAGTTAAACATGTTTTGTGAGATCTCAACCCTCCCCCTATACTTCTAGCCAATGTAGAATAAACAAACACACAGCAATACGCACAGTAAAACTCAGTTTAAAAGAAGTCCGAGTCCGATGTCAGAATAGTTAACAGAAGAAACTAATCAAAATGACAATGATACATGAATTAACAAAGGACTACTAGCAGTTACTGACATGCCAGTTCCAGACCACAATCCCTCACTTTAGGGGTATAGTAGCATACCATCATAAAATACATGTATATGAGAAGAACATAACCCGTATCATGCCAACAACTGGTTTTAGAATAAATGTGTTTATTTCCGATGCAAAGATTCTATGAGTGAATCAATATTAATACCAAAATATGCCATCTTTAACGACCTGACATCAGTATCGTAACTATACCCTCCTGAATAAATATGTTTAAAGGTTTGGTTAGCTTTTGAGTTGAATGACGACATTGGTGTGCTTTGTATAGAATATTACCATAAAAGATTGGATGTGAAATACCTGAACGTATAAGATGTCTGCATGTTGATTTATATTTACGAATGATGTCCTTGTACCGATGATAAAACTTAGTAAATGTTTTGACTAGTTTGTGATATCAAAAACCTTGGTGTAATAATTTTTCAGTAATACAGAGATTTCTTTCGTTAAAATCAAATACGTTGTTACATACACGAGCGAATCGAACAAGTTGAAATGATGAATATATGATATTTTAACATCCATCACTATACTACTTTTGATCCTAATGGGTCAAACTAATTTACAATTAGACGTTTCGACAATCTGTATAGCGTTATTATGGGTGACCTGCTTTTGGATGAATCACGGGTAAAAGAAGATCTGGAAACCCATACTAAAATTTTAAATGGGTTTCCAAAATTTTTTCATTTTTATTGGGATTTAAAACATTATTTTAATTTGAACCTCAAATGTGTTATGAACAATTTAGACTGTTTAGCTGTGCTACTAAAATAAAAAAAGCCAAACGAACTAGAATTGGCTTCTTGTGAGGTGACCGAATTAGATAAATAATTGTTACATATTATATGCTATCTCCTATTAACCATATTTATGTTTTTCTTTTTCTTTCAAAATACGTTTTGATATTTAATCTTTTTTCTTCAGAAACTTCAGAAGAAAGGTCTTTTGATTTTTTATGCTCGGTGTTATAAATAGATTCTAAATAAATTTTCAAAATACACTTTCTGTGGTTAGTTTCAAGTTGTTTATTTCATAAAAATGTAAAAGAAATCTAGCCAATAAAAACAAAACCCATACAGAGATTGTCATCTTCTTGTGAAACTAAAAGACTATTAAGATGCTTACATATCACAATGTCGAAAAGTAATATCCCTGGAATGCTTTGTCAATCTTAATTAAAAGATTAAAAACTCTGTTATATCTTTGTAAATGCTTATAGACGATCGTACTTAATTTTGTACAAACTGGAAGATCTCTACTCGTGAAAACACAGGATTTGTACAATGAACACGGATTTAGCCAAAAGGCGTCCGGATTCTATAAAAAAAGAATAAATTATCATAGATAATTGATAACTATTTTGTCAGATGAAGTATATTTTTTGTTGAAAACTGTTGAAAGTTTAAAAGAGAGGCGAAAGATACCAAAGTGATATTGAAACTCATATGTCGAAAAGAAACTGACAACGCCATGACCCATGGCAAAGCAAAAACAAAAAATCAAACAAAACAACCATATACAAAATCCAACATAGAAAACTAAAGACTGAGTAACACAAACCCCAGCAAAAACCGATGGTAATCTTAGGTGCTCTAGAAGGGTAAGCATATCATGCTCCAGGTGTTATAAAGTTTCTCATGTTGAGATGCGCGATTTCATTTTTTCATCTAACTATTTCATACTACTACTACTCATCATCTCTATCTGGAACCTTATTTACCGATATAAGAAAAAACGAAAGATACTGAGAAGGCCATTGCGAATAATAAGACAACGCAAAATAATATCCGAGTAAAAGACAATCAACAGTCCACAAAACACCTAACAAAAGACAAAAAACGCATCAAAACACAATCCCCAACAAGAAGTAGTCGTGAACTCTCTGTGTGATCAGAAACAAAATCTGATTCGTTTCTGTCATGTACGTGTGAAGACTTTGTTTCCTGAATTGATACATCTATTCCATACCTTTCTCTTAATTCACAAATCACATATTGGCTTTTCATCACAACGATAGTATTATCAAAAAAAAAACTAGGATTACAAGTTTTGTATCAGTGTCCATAGAATGACTGCTAGTATCGTGTTCATCAGGCAGAGAAGTAGAGGTTACAATGTTTAACAGGATAAAAATCAAGAAATATATTTAAAAAGAATTTTGGTGGTATCTTGTTAATCCCGTGGTATTTAGAAGTAAGACAAGTCAGCTTGATTTTGACACTAATTTTCGTCAATTGTTACCTTGTAATTAACACGTTATTTAAAGATTTAACAATTTGTATGAATTCATTGTTATGTCGAGACATAACATTTAAAATATATGCTTTTCTTTTTCATGAAATGATTTTTATTGTTTTCTAAATATTGCTTAGCAAGAATTTATATGCCATAATACCCACATTGAACAAAACTTTCAAGATTGGTAATTTAAGGTATTTAAAACTATAAAATAATTACTACATATACCATTTTGACAACCAATTGAGTTACAATAGCTTGAAAAAATAAAAAAAATATTTAGATCAAGCACCGAAGTACTGAGCTAGTTTCCCAGACACTTTTGTATAGAAAAAACAAAATTACAGATACTTTTACATCTTTTTTTTACTTTAAGTCTCAGAGGTATCACCATCCCACTAGCTCAGCACTTCGCTACATTTTTACCCCCCCCCCCCCCCTCATGGAGAACCCTCGCTCCACATTCCCTTACTGGTATATTGCCATACAGTCAGTTTCTGTCTCACTCTGAATTGCAATACTGAAAGCATCTCCTATGACGTTGAAAGCTATTATTAATCAATCTGGTGTAGCTTTCTCAATTACGAAACTTTGATATTGAATATCATGTTTATAGCATTCTCATCATTGGACACTGATAATCATTTTTATAGCATTCTCGTCATTGAATATTGAATATCATTTTATTGAATTACTGAATATCCTTTTTATAGCATTCTCATGTTTGAACTTTGAATATTGGATATTATCTGTATTGTACTCTCATGTTTGAAACTTTGAATATTGGTTATTTTTTTTAATAGCATTCTCATTTTGAATATTGCATATCATTTTCAAAT